CAGCCTGGTCTACAGAGTAAGTTCCAGAACAGGCAAAAGAATGACAAATTATTTTGTCTTCACATGGAGCAGAAATTAAATTGAGACTAAGTAGACATTTAAGAGTTGTTTTTTAGTTTATTTTATTAGGGTTGTGTGTGTGTGTGTGAGTGTGTGTGTGTGTGTGTGTGTGTGTGTGTGTGTGGGTGTGTGTATGTGTGTGTGTGTTTTAATCCTAGATGCTCAATGTGTTGGGTGGAAGATGGCAGTAAAATGGGTGATATTCATCAATCCTTGCCTTCTATGTTCCTATCACTGAGCTAGACTACAATTTTCTATACAGTAAAGAAAATGCAAATCAAACGTGCCATTGGAATTTAACAGAAAGCACTGTAGATCATCTCCGCAAAAATGTATGAGACTTTCAGTAAGACTCTCTCTCTCTACCACGTCCTTTTCCAGACACGTCCATATGGTCCAGCAGGAGATGCTGGGCACCCAACAGATGTTGAGTCTGTTAGGTAGAATTAAGACAAAGAAGGACCTGCTAACCACAATAACTACAATCTTAAAATAGTCCCTAAATCATCATAATGATAAATAAATTACCACTAGTTAAACCACTTATTGCTAGAGCTGATGTCTATAGTTAGTGGCATAAATAATTAGCACAATATGCATGATAAAATAGTCAATAAGAGAATGTAATCTATATCAAGATCAACAAACTCTAGGAAATTATCTTTTAGACTTATTTTTTATATGGGTGAGAAGTAGCCAGTGAGAATTCTATTCTTTTCAATAGAATGAAATCATAATGAATAAGTAAATAACAAAATTAATCTGCTAAAAGGAAAATTTTATGTGACAAGCCACTACATTCAATGATGCAAAAGTGAAAGCGACACCTTTTATCATCACTCTCATTCATCACAGTAATGGAGGTCCCAACCAGTGAAATAAGACAACAGGTAAAAATACTGTAAAAAGCGTAAGGGCTACAAGGAAAAGCAGCAGTTAATTATTACAACAAATTTACACTTTCAACAATCCAGACACACAACCTACAAACCATTAAAGCTACTAGCAAGATTGGCTATCATTGAATATAAGGCCAACACAGTAAAACCAACAGGATCCCTACGGACCCCGTCAGCGAACATCCATCAGCTTGACTCCTTCAATACCCTGCCTTTTCCTGACTCTTACACCACGAATCTTCCCCCATCCCACCCACCTTTGCCGAGTTGAGATGGTCTAACCACAGATCTTACCTTCCGTAGGGGGTGAACTTCAGAAGCTTGGTAACTGCAGATCCTTTATGTCTGCTGTGTCAGTATTTTTAAAGCCCTGAGACTGTTTTTGAAACTAAGTCTTTCTCAAGAACTTGAAACTTGGCAGCACTGAAAGCATTTCTCATAGAAGGCAGTGCCCTATAGGTAGAAGCCCACCTGCTAGGGCCCTTGTTCTCTGTTACAAAATTACCAAACTACATCCTGTCTTGAGGATAGGGGAATGTTTACTTTTTCTTTGAGTAATGCCCTTTTATGAACACAGATGCCCTAGGCTTCCAGACATTTGCTCTTAAAACCTCGCCCTGGTTCTGGTGAAGCAAACATGAACATTAGACTCAGTCCTGGCTTCTCTCCCTCGCTGCAGGAGTCTTCTGCAGTTTTCCTAAGACATTAAACCGTAAGAAGAAAACTTTTCAGCACTCTATACCAGAGTCAGATGGAAAATTCAATGTCCTTGAGGTGCTAGAGATTAAACTCAGAATTGAAGGGCTAGTGAGATGGTTCTGGGGATAAAGAGGCTTGCACTAAGGCTAATGACCTGAATTTGACTCCAGGACTCACATGACTGAGAGGTAACTTACTTCCACAAGCTGTTTTTTGACCTCTCCGTGTGCTCATGTGTGTCTGTGTGTGTATACATATATACACAAAAATAAATAATTATAAAAATAGAAATTTAAAAAGAATTCACAATATTCAATCTTTCAAACAAATTCTCTTAACCTCTACATCTACACAGTAAAGCACAATAATTTCTGGTAGTCATGTTGAAAAATTATAATGATATAGAAGGGTATGTATTAGAAGGCTCAAGGCAGGGGCTGGAAAGATGATTCAGCATTTAAGAGCACTTGTTGTTGTAAGAGTTCAATTCCCAGAACCCAGTAATGGCTCACAGCCATCTGTAACCCCAGTTCCACAGGATCCAACAAACACACATGGTATACATACCTGCATTCAAGCAAAGCATTAATACAAAGTAAACAAGCAAATCTTTTAAAAAAAAATCTTAAAAAGAAAAAAACTTAAGGTAGAGGCATAAATTCTTCTGGTCCATGTAATTCTAATAAAAAATCCAGAACAAAACCATAGGAAGTTAATAAACTGATTATTAGAAACAAAGATGGCTTATTACAAAGAATAAGGCAAATACTGATCCTTATGCTATAACTATAATAATTAAGAATTGTAATGTTGACATGGGTTTAACAAAACAATCAGTAGAACAAAATAGAGAAGCCAGAAACAGGTTCACACATCTAGAGAAAGCTGATTGATGATGTACTACTGTACAGAGAGGGAGGGGTCTATCTTTTCAAAAGTGCAAGTCCACTGACAAATCATATAGAAGTTTTTTGCTGTTGTTTTGAATTTTTCAACTTTTAATTATGTACACATATTGAGTATTTCTTTTGGGGGCATATTCACATGTAAGCTGGTGCCTAAGGAGGCTAGAACCTGTTACATACCCTGGGTCCCTATTTCCAGGCAGTTTAACTTACTCAACATGGGTGGTGGAAACTGAACTCAGATCTTTTGCAGGCTCAGTATTTCCTTTCAACCACAGAGTCACCTCTCTAGCTCCCATATATAAGTACTAAATGTGAAATTTGCTATGTGTGTTCATTTTCCACATATCAGAACAAGATCATTTTATCACTATAACAAGTAAATATTTCATAAATTACACATAAGTATCAAGTATAAAAAAGGCAGTAACAATGTATTGAATTCATATTAAGCGATATTAAGATCACTATGAGGTGCTCTCATAGAAAAATAGAAATATACTAGATAGAAATACACATTTTCAAACACTGTAGCTGATAGAGACAGTTACTGTAATAGACATCTGAGCAAATGAAGAATATATGGCAGTGGGTCTTCATGCAGTCAGTGAAAACGATGGTGTTTAGGGCATGGCCTCATTGTTCAGCAGCAGCACTAACCAAAACCAGCATTAAATGTACTACATACATCCATGTGTACTATAAATGATAAAATAAACATTGGTGGGGTACAATTTTCTCTCAAAACATAAACAAAACACATTGCTAAAAGATGGAATCAGAGTAATTAGTCAACATATGGAACTTTCACTTCCCATTGTAAGACCTCAAAAGTCTCCTCCTTTGGCTATTTTAAGATGCCCATTACGTTGTTTTCAACTGTGGCCACCTAACTGTTACAACACATCAGAATTTATTTCTCTTTATAATCAATATGTTTACACACATTGATTAATTTCTCCTGTTCTGTTTCTTCCCACTTTACTCCTTATTCTTTGGCAGCCATTATTGCACATTCATGCACACACACAAACACAAATAAAAATAAATAATAAATAAAATAAACAGATAAATACAAAGATCAAGAATAATTATGTAAAATCACAATTAGTTTCTGAATAAGTTTCTCAACCAACTCAGGTACAAAAATAAGAAATTTAAAAGAAATAAAAACTAAGAAAAGTAACTTAGATTCCTATCTGTGATGAAAAGGCATATTGTGTGGTTCATGTTATTTTCTCAATGTATCAATCAAAGCTTCACTAGCTAATGTTACCAGTTAATGATGTTTGGTAATCAAAATTTTTAATGCTAAAATTTTATGGTTCATAACTGATATCTTTAAATGAATGTAAGAAATATTCTTTTAAATAAATCCATTTCTTTTTCAAAGAGTTCATTTGGTAAGCAAAACAATTTCAATACTGTCTTCTAATAAAACATTAGGCAGTATTTAGTTTTGAACAACTACAGATTGGTGACCTACTTATTAAATAATTGGCTTTCTTTCCTTTCTGTAAGAAACTTGGGAAATCACACATTCAATAATTCTCCGAGTTGTTAATGAAAACAAAGCTATTGGTGATGTGAATAGTGGTCTATGGAGCACACCCAGTAACTGTATGCATGACTAGTTCACTAATCATTCATTCTTTTAGAAGCTGTTTGTTTTCTTTGTATCTTATCAGAAAAATCTGAAATTAAATTAAAAATATTTCTTTGTAGAACCAATTAACAATCTGATTTACTATCAATGTTTAGCTTACTAAAATTCTATATTACTACTTGAAAGATATGTCAAAAATATTTCTGGAGTAACCATTTTCCTTTAGAATACACAGTAATTTCTTAGTATATCCAGCATTACTGTTATCATTAAGTCTACATATTACAGTTGTACCACCATAATGTGAAGATACAGCAAATCTGCCTCCCACAGATCACAGATCAACACATAATATTGCTTAGGAAAAGAACTGTCACAATGTATATTTGATTGTGAGTTAAAAAAACTTTTAAGTTTCCCTCAATTTAGGAAGCATTTAGTAAGTTATCAGGGTGAGTGGAGTGCTTTGAGGCATTAATATTTTTAAAATAACTTATCTCAACATTTCACAAATTATGATTTAAAATTTTTATTAAAAAAAAGAAAGCTTCTAGGGATCATTTCAGTTTGTTGCATTAGCATAATGACAACCAAATAACAAATATTGTCTTTATCTGAGGAGCTAAATCGAAGTCAGAACTCAACAACCTTCTTCAGCTTGAAGGTCGTTCTCTAAAAGGCCTGAAGTGGCAGGGACCTTCACTCATCAGCCAGTTTGTTTCTGTTTTCTTTTTTTTTTTTTTTTCCGAGACAGGGTTTCTCTGTATAGTTTTCGTCCTGTCCTGGATCTCGCGCTATAGACCAGGCTGGCCTCGAACTCAGAGAGATCCCCCTGGCTCTGCCACCGAGTGCTGGGATTAAAGGCGTGTGCCACCACCGCCCGGCTGAGTTTGTTTCTTTTTAAGGATGAATGAGCTGTATTTGGAAGATGGTGAATTAGGAACTGAACTGAACTGAAAGTTTTGAGATGCATTATTAGTTTATGTTCTTACTTTCCACACACACACAATTCTTCCACACACAGGAAAAAGTAGGATTTCCATTGTGAGCCTCTTACATTAGTCTACACAGAGGACTCTCTTGTAATGATTAAAAGCAATGTATCTGTAAGCAATAATTCAAAGGCATCTTTCAGATATGATCAAGATAAAAAAAAAGCCTGTCTCAGAAATGTGTGTTGGGTAGGCTCATTTGGTTAGAAAAAAACTGCATGTGTTTAAGGGAGTATTTCATTTTCAGTGAGTAATCCTGAAAGGTAACAGGAGAGAATTCTGAGACCAAGTCTATAATGGGATCCAGAAAGAAAAAACAGCTTTCATTTTCCTTATATATTTTCACACAATTTGAAATGTTTAAATGGCATCACTTTTATGCTGACTTTTGGATGAGTAATACTTTAAGTATCAAAGAAACTTTGCTTAAGATGCAATTCTGTTTTCAACCTATTTTGCATTCTATGTATTTTAGCTTAATTTTAAAAGTGTTTTATTTCATGTCAATGGGTGTTTTCCACGCATGAATGAAAGTCTGTGTATGACACTCATGCAGAGCCTGTGGAGGCTGAAAGATGGTCTCTGATCTCCTGGAGCTGGAGTTACAGATGGTTGTGAGTCACCATGTGGGTGCTAGGATTTGAACTGGGTCCTTTGGAAGAACAACCACTGAGTCACTTCTTCAGCCCCCTATTTTACTTTAAAAAATGTTATTGTGTTCAAATAACAAAACAAAATATACTATTCTAACCATTTCAAGGATGCAATTCTGTGGCACTGACTGGATTCACAAGACTTAAAAAAATATCAGCAGCTGTGATATAAAAGAAAGTGATGAATCCTCATGTGTTCTTTGTCCCTTTTGAGAGTGGACTCTGAGAACAGGAGACTGGTCCCCTCCTTGCTCCTGACTCAAACCCGTTTGAGTGTGACAACAATGTTAAATCCTCAAAATTCTTTGTCTCTGGGCCTGAAGAAAACACAAACAGCCAGGTGATAAAGGGCTGAAAACATTGTATCCTCTGGAACAGCAAGGAGGTAAGCCATTTCCAAGGGAAGTTGCTACTGTTTATCCTGTGGTATAAAATGCTTAAAGCTCTGGAGGAGAGAAAGCTCTCTCTCTGCCAAGGGCTCTGCTGGGAGCTTCTGTTTGCTGTTTCCCCAGGCCTTCCACTCTTATTTCTGTTAGATGTTGTAAGCTCCCGATTGGATGATGTTCTTCTGTCTCTCTGCTACTTGCTATTTGTCCTTTTACATTTGCTTCAAGCTTAAACTCACACTAAACTAAAAGTTCAGCTGTCACAGTCATTCTCCAGACAGGACACAATCTAATTCCAAAACCTTAATCCCCTCCAACAGAAACTGTAATAATGAAGAAGCAATTCTTCATTACCGCTATCCTACACATTCAGCTCCTGATCAAGGTCTGTCTTGAATAATAAGTAGATTTGCTTATTCTAGATAATTCTTATCATCTTCTCTAAACTTTTTCTTTGCCGTGTTGTTTGGAGTTAACATTTCCCTAATAACTGATGATACCTGGTAACTTTTCACATATTAGCTATTAGCAGATCTATTCAAAAAGTTCACCTAAGCATAACTGGGATGTATTTTCTTTAATAATATTATTATCAAATAAAACTTACATGCATTCTTTATGTAATCAGGAAATAAACTCTGCTTTGCAGAAATGCTTTCAGATGCTAATCTAATGGGAACATTTCATTATTTCGTTTTCTGACTGCTCACTGCAGGGGTATGAAACAACTGGGTTTTGTGCTTTGACATCATAATGTGCAGTTTTCATGATGTGCTTGGTTCTGGGAACATCCCTGTGTAGGCTCTTAACTTTATATTTTTATGACCATAGTATCTATGAAAAGAGATGCTTACTCTTTTCACTTCAAAGGATTGTTTCTATTTTCCATGTCTAATTTATCAGGATAGAATTTCCACAGTGTTGAATAGCAACAGAGAAAGCAAGCAGTCTTGGAATCCTTATCTTAGATGAAAAGCATCAGATTTTACCACTGAATATCATAAATTTGCTGTTTTGAAAATGTTTCCGTTTCCATTTCCACTCCCTCCCTCTCTGAACTTTTCCTTTTCCTTCTTCAAAGGTTGTTAAATTTTACCACATGCCTCTTTTGAATGTATATGTATGTTTTATCCATTCTATTAATGTGTATTGTGCTGATTTTTTAATGTTAATACCTATAAGATTCCCAATTGACATTTGATGCTATTGCTATACATTTGTGACCTTTGTGGAGAGCTGATGAATTGAGTTGAGAAGTTTCATGTTTCATGTCAGTGAAGGGGCAGTTGTAAAAGCTTAGAGCTCCATTTGGCTGATCCCAATCTTCATTTCACATTTTATTTATTGCATTCACAAACCAGTTTGTTATATTGTTACACTGTCTATGCTATCTGTGTGTTTACTCATTTCTACTTATTCTGACACACTAAGTAATATAGCAAGCTTTTTTTTCTTTATCCATTTCAATCATATTGTTTTAGTCTCTACATCTAACTATTATTGATTCTGAGAAAGCCATACTACCCCTCTTGACCTCAGTCCCTTGCCTGTGAAATACACATCTTTTTAAAATAGTCTGCTTCATAACATGTAATAAGATAATACAGATATTTACTCAATATACACTAGTTATTGAAAACTTTCAGCCATACTTCTTTTATGTGCAGACATCATAACCTGTTAGCCCATTGTTTAGGGTATTATTAGTAAAAATACTTTTACTTAAGATGTTTTGGAGAGCTATCAGAATTAATGAGTATCTAATCTAGATGATGAAACAGTTGCACTAGAAAGGAATTTTTGTGATGTAGACACCCGAGATGGTTAGGCTTAATATTAAGTCAACTGGCACAGTCTACAATCACCTGGGAAGAGAGCCTTGGTGGGAGACTACCTACACCAGACTGGCCTGTTGGCATGTCTCTGGGGTTGGTTACATTAACTAAGTGGAAAGACCCACCCTAAATGTGGGCAGCACCTTCTTGTTGCAGCTCATATAAAAAAACAGGGAAGAAAACAAGCTTTTCCTTTTTGGCTCTCTCGGGCTTCACTGTTGCTAACAAGTTCATCTACCTTGTTATTTTTGGGGTTGATTTTCAGCTGAAATTAGAACTAGCTTCTCTGGGATTCTAAGATGGACTGAAGACTTGTGGCTCTCCAGGAATCGTCCACCATTGTTGGGGCCCATTTGGGTTTCCTCGTGGCTTTACCCAGCAGGTCTGCATAAAGAGGATGGCTGGACCATGGCCTGAGTGCAGGTGTCTGAGATGGTCTGCAGCTGGCTGTGCTAGGGAGAGGTCTTATGCTCCACACCTTTGCATTCCTTTAAAAACCCTTTGGCAGGGTGGGATGGCCCCACACACACCATTTTGGGACAACTGGGGTACCCAGCATCATGAACAGAGACAACTGTTCACAGACTATTCTGATTATACCCTATAAGCCAACCTAACATTTTCCCTTTAAAAATATAATGTATATAGGTACACATACATTTCTCTTCCCCTAGAGAACAATAATAATACAATATCCAAATGATGGAATAATACTATAAAAATGGATATTTTCATAAGGTTACCTATCATTTTCATAGGGGCTCAGAGAAGATGCATATTTAAAGAGTTTTTCAAATGAACCACAAATACATTGAATGTTGAGATTACCTTTCCTATATCACCCCATACATGAAAATAAAAACACTAGAGACCAGAGAATATATATTCATGCTTCAGGCCTCAAAAATAGCGCTGTGCTTTGTAGAAAGTAAATCTGACCTATGTTTCCCAAACCACAGTCTCTCTCAGCAAAACTGTAGTAACAACTCATAGAAACTTCAAACTGTGACAGTTTAAAACTCCATGTTCCCAGGTATACCACACACATCCTGACGCTTATCAGCACTAACAGCTGGAAAGCCATGGCAACAATGATAATTGCTAAATAGTTTCCCAGTTGAGAACACATTGCCTTTTCAGACATATGATACCATCTTATTTCCTATTAATTGAAAAACAGTAGTGGGGGCAGCATCCATATTCTGCCCTGTGTCTACTGAAGAGGGGCATATGCTTAATGTTTTTGTTCTCTGCTTTGTCCAAAATAACTTACTCGTGGAAGAAAGAAAAAGCCTGGAAGAATAACAGAGAATCTCTTACAGGGAGGTTATTTTCAAAGGAGAGATCTAAGAATGCTATAATATGAGACTTAAGGTTTGGTATCTCATATTACAAAGAAAAGTGAAATTCCCACAAAGCAACAGTCAGTAACTATAGCAACCTTGCAGGGAGCACAAAAGGACTCATTTTTATTCAGCAGAGTTTTATAGAATTTATCATCCTGAATGTGACAGTATGTACTATCTTTGCTGGTCTGCTGTGACATCCTAATATATAGACATTATTAGCTAGACCCAATGGCTCATTATTTACCAGTCAAAAAGTTTAGGCTTTTGAACACACATTTAAAATTAAGCTAGAATGTTTCAACAGTTAATCATGGTATCCATACACTACAAAACAGGTGTTGGCAACTTTGCTGAAATTCTTATTTCAATAATAATTGAAACATGAACACTTATTTACCTGAATAAGAAAGTTTAATCAAATCACTATAATAACTGCATAAGAGGACCTTCTAAAATAAATGCCCCTAGTATAAAAGCAGACAACACTCTGATATACTTGAATGAAACCACGAGGATGAAAGTTGTCTGAGAAGATGTTGTGGTTGGAAGAAAACAAGAGTGGGTATCATTAACAATTCCCAAAACGGACTCCCTTTGAAAAAAGGTGGAATTATTCCATTTTGATGTCTTTAAAATGTGGTGGGAAATAATCTATCCAAGACCTTGGATGCTCCAGGAATTCTATACTTTAAATCATAATATATCTGGATGCACACACTGGGTCGAATTCAATTAACGTGACAAACGTTAAAATTGCATCATAACCTGGACATGACAAAGCATCCTTGCAATGCTGGTTAATAAGCTGCTTAAGGCAACAGATTCAAAAGTTCAAGGCCAGCCCAGGATGCTCAGAGACGCCCTGCCTATCTTTTGCAGCATGCCATGCAGAAAATCATCTTTCCTTAGGGAATTTTGAATGGAAAATGAAACAAAATAAATATGTTAAGGGCACTAAACTCACAGAAGGAGTACTAAAAACTATAATTTAGTGTGAAATAAACTCTAGCATTTGGAGTTTTAACTAATACAGAGATTTTTATCTAATCCTTTTATAGACTAGTAAATCCATTTTTGTGCTTTCTTTTATGTAGTCTACTGAGGAGTATGTAACAAATATATACTGGTGGTTTAGTTAATGGGAAATCATATACAAAGGTGTTTACCAAATACTTTTAAAACTAGTTCAAATACTTGAACCAAAAATTATGATTAGGTACCCAGAAATGAAGAGGCTAAAATAAAAAAATCTGGTAGAAAAGTAAGTGTCAAAATCAGAAATCTTGACTATATGTGGTCAAGTCATCTCATGGCCTTTTTTTTCTCTGAAAGAAGGAATAGGATGATGATGGCTTGAGAAACATTCTTGAAGAAAGTTACAGTCCAAACAATTTTTAAAAAAATGTTGTAGTTTCTGTTTAAGTAAATACTTACAGTATTTTTAAAACTGTACTATGGCATGCATAATTACTGCACAGGGAATAAATAAGATAATAACTCATGAAATTTGAGACATGGGAAATTTAAAACAGACCAAGGGAGAAAGAAAAAAAAAAAAGAAAGAATTTCAAATATGACTTTGAAAGCCCAGGGAGAGTTATTTGCTTCTTAGAAACAAATGACATTGTTGCAGTCTGTGTGTTCTATGAATAGTCATAGGAGAGGCTGGTGGGAGTGTTTGTGTGAGGCAGACAATATGTCTGTCTCAGGGATCTGAGTCCACTGAGCAGTCATGAGGCATTTGCTCACATTCTGCCTGGTATGCTGAAAATGTCCTCTAAGGACACACCTTATATTACTCCTTCTGTCTCTAATAATAACCATACTAAGGTTTGGAAAACACGAGGTATGAAATACCCAAAGAAATAAATTAGGAATATGAACCCACACATTAATTCCCAAAGATATGCTTCTCTAGCAGAAACATCTTTGTGCCTGTTATATTTGTGAGCCTTTCATTAAGAAAAATAATTAATGTAACTCTTAAATGATTTTCACAGTTTACTGAAACTGGCATGAAACTAACAATCAAAATTAGACAAGTGCTTGCCACCGTCGTGGTGATGTTTCCAGAAGAGAGACTATGTATTCTCCCGAATTATCTGAGAATGAGAATGATCACTGTTCTTATTTTATCCAAATACTGATTTTCAATATCTCAATGAGATCTGTCCAACCCAGTTTTGACAGATCTGACTTTGTTCCTAACTAGAGTTCTGGTGTTGAAAAGACAGTGTTTGTATCTAACCTCGACTGGATCAAGTACAGAAATACAATACACTGTTGTTGGCTTGTATTAGCAAACGCCACAAAAACTAAGGAATTAACTGTATTACCATGAGTGTCAATTTCAGATATAGGAGAGTCTACCAACTATTATCTAGTGAGAAAAGCAGCAGGATTTGTAAATATTGTTAAGAGCAAACAAAAGCTCCAGAAAGATACCTTGATGTAAAACTAAAAATGAATAACCAATTGTACAATTCTCAGAATGGGATAAAAGTCTGAAAAAAAAACACCTAAAAGGATGGTTTAAACCATTTTAATGCCTCATCCTAAGTCTTTTAATAGCCATGGACTAAAATGGGGATAGATTAAAAAAAAAAAACGTTTATTTTTATTATGTGTGTGTGTGGGGGGGTATGTTTGTGCACAAATGTATGTAAGTATGTGTGAATGTGTGTGGAGTGCCTGTTTAAACCAAAAAATGGCTTTAGATCCCCTGGAGCTGAAGTTTCAGTTTGTTGTGACCTGCCCTATGGAGGTGCTGGGAACCGAACCTGAATCCTATGAAAGAGCAGCAAGCTTCCACTGGCGGAAGTTTTTAAAGAGGTATTAAATATTTGGGCTGCATTTTGAAACGCATTTTTTCGTAACAGTCACTGTAATTTTGCTACTCTTTTTCACTAATTAAATTCACCCTCTCAGTGAGCAAAATGTGAGTTAGTCACTAATGAGGGTGAGGGCGAGTCAACAGACTTGAGGGACCTCCCAGGAAAGCACATCTTCCACTTCAGTCTGAACTTCCCAAGTTTCACGGTCTGATCCTAATGCTGTTAGTACGAAGACTCTCAGGCCAAATTGTGAAATAGTTCTTATTTTTCCTCTCCCAGGAAACAAAACAGAAAGCATTTCAAGGAAAAACAGAGTACAAAAGGACCAGTTAAGCAGAACCAGCAACATTTTTATTTTACTTGGACAGTACATAATGTATCAGTTCCCTGAGGAACATCTGTCTTTTCAACCCCTCAGGGCCAAGACGGCAGCAGATGTGACTGCACAGAATGCGTGTCTCTCCTTAAAAACTGGCAAGATTGGGTGGGATGTGCACGCAGTGGGGAAATGCTCGCACAGCACCTACCAGGCTGTGAATTTCAAATCCACTACCACAAAATACAAGTGGTGGGATTATGAAAAGAACGTTTTATTGCCTTGTGCTTACCTCTTAGGCCTTCATGATAGTTATCAGGCCTGAAACTTTCCTTGATGTGTCAAACAAAATGGCATACTCTCCCTAAACACTGTAACAACAGAAACACAGCCTTCAGAAATTCTAAGAGGACCACCGCGATGGCTCCGTGGGTAAACGCACTATGCTCTCACACACCTGACCATGACTTCTGTCTTGGAACTCACATAGAAAGCTGGATGGATATGTATTTGTACTTCTGACACTCCTCCAGCGGTGCCAGGGGCAGAGACGGGAGAATCCCCTGGCAGATCCTAGCAAAGCAGCAGAAATGAGAGAGACCCTGCCCTTAATTAGGTGGAAATGAGAGCTAACTCAGGAAAGTTGTCCTCTACCTTTCCCCCACACACTGCTCTAACTGCTCTTTTCTGAGGCTGTGCTAAAAACACTGTTACCATCGCAGTGTGGGAAAGAATAGGCTGGCTTTACTTAGCCTATACGTCCCAATCATTGAGGGCATGAGGTTCCAAGGCAGGAACTTGATGGCAAAAGCTTGAAGCAGAAACCATGGAGGAAGGATGCTTACCAGCTTGTTTCACCTGGCTTGCTCAGCTACCTTTCTTATATGGATTGGGCCTACCTGCCTAAGAATGGTGTCTCCCAAAGTGAGGCGGGCTTTCCTACATCAGTGATCAATCAAGAAAATATTCCAGAGGCATGTTTACACACCAATCTGTTGGAGGTAATTCCTTGAGTGAGGTGCCTTCTCTCTGGGGGGAGCTAAATATGGTACACATAAATGAAAGGAGAAGCAAAGGGGAGGTGATGTGTGAGGGAGAGGGGGAGGGAAGGGAGGGAGGGTGAGGAAGGGAAGAAGGAGAGGGAGGGAGGGGGAGGGAGGGAGGGCAGAAGGAGGGGAGCAAAGGGGAGAGGAGGAATTCTACAGCTGAATGGGTGATGCCGGACAAAGTGTGAAACACTCAAGGGAACGGAGTCCACACCTGTCAAGCGCTGACATCTGCTCCTCTTTGGTGACTGTCTTTTGACTGTCTTTTTGACTGTCACACTGGAAATATTCTGAGTTCTTCAGAAAAATCAACTAATATTTCAAGGCTCAGATCAAGTATATACACTGTATGGTCAGTCTCCATGAGATGAATGTGATGATTCTATTGGAATTTATGGTTCTTCATCATGCAATATTTTAAAGGAAAAAATATTTGCTTCTCCTGAATTATTAGGACTGAAAAAAATATGAACAGAATCTTGTACTGGGAAATTTACTTAATTATCACCTCACAGCTCATCAAGGCACCATTCTCAAAGGAGATTACCGCTTCAGTGAGAGAGTATTTAATTTTATATTACTGGATTATGTACAAAATTCTAATAATTAGATTTAATTTTAATTTTATTATTTTTAAAATTGTATTTATTTACCACCACCACCCGGTGTGTGTGTGTGTGTGTGTGTGTGTGTGTGTGTGTGTGTGTGTGTGTGATGTGTGGGTGTGATGTGTGCAGGGTTGGGGGAGAACGCACTACCATGATATGCATATGAAGAGCAGAGGATAAAGCTGGGAATTCAGCTCTCTCCTTTCAAATTTACATGGATCTCAGGGATTGATCTCTAAGCACCAGACTCGCATAGTTGGACAGCAAGCACCTTTACCCACTGAGTCATCTTGTTGTACCAAAATCTACTCCACATAAGGAATAACCATGTACTGAAGTCATTTTTTTTCTTTGTTTTCTTGTGGTGCGTTGGGTAGAATCCAGAGCTTTGTGCAGGCAGAGAGATTGCTCTTACCACTACCCAGCCCTACTGTCTTAACAAATGTAGCAAAATTTTAATCTATTTAGTTAGAACATTATAATATAGCACACACTGAAACATGGTAAGTATTTTGCTCCTTAGGGGCTTTTATTTATAATTCTAGCCAAGGAAATTCTACAGTCCAGTTGAGGCAAAACCTTTTCTGTCAGTAAGTATTGATCATTTAGGGAAATTGATAATGATTTATTGAATCCCTGATACTTTAGTCTGTCAGTAGTAAATGAGTTGGTCAAGCGAACAGTGATAGGATGACAAGGAAAGAAAAGAACTCAAATACTGTCACTACAGACACAGCAGAAACAGCCAAGTGGGGTGTAAAATCAATACTTTCTTCAGCCTTACAGAAGGGATGCTCCACAGCTGCCAGGCTGACCATGAGGCTCAGGATATAACACCAGCTGCACAGGCCACATCTGTCTTTCCTCTCTTTACTTTATAGTGAATATGAATGGAAGTGTTTGTGTTTGTTCTTAAACTCATATAATTATTTTATTATGCAATCTGATGAAAGTCTGAAATTCTCACTGATCTTCTTTAGAACTGTACCACTTGGAACATCCCCAAATGCTGAAGAGATAAGAATATTTATGTAGACCACTTTTATTCAAAACAAGAACTGAATAAAATTTTCTTTTTACTGAAATCATATGACAATGATGTATAACACCTTTTAAAGATATCTGACTAAACTAAGTATATTATTAGGGGGACAAATCTTGTGTACTTTGTGATGGTGCATGTCCTTCTACAGCAAAAGTTTATCTTCAGCCTATATTTGGGTAATGTCCACTATAGTCTAACGAAGCCCAAGTTGGCCTCAAACTTGTAGTGTAGTTGAGAACAAACTTGACCTTGAAATCTGATCCTCCTGCCACTACTTCCCCAATGCTGGAACCACATGCATGCCTCACTATGCCTGGTTCATGGGGGACTGGGAACCTAGCCTAAGGCCTCTTGGATGCTGGACAACCATTCTACGAGCTGAGCTACATCTCCAGCTCAAAGTTTTACCTTAACATAAACATGTTTATGAAAAGTTTAGGATAGGAAAGGACCTTCAGCATATTCTTTCTTTTCCTTATTCATTTATTATTCCATTGCTCCAATGAATGCTCTGTCATGCTCTGTTCTAAGTGCTGAGGAGGAGGCAAATAAAGGTATGTAATATGAATAAAAACCCTGCTGTGCACAGCACTTCAGACTGTTGGGGCAAGCAAGCAAATCTACAACTATGGAAAATGATGTCATTTGTTATGTCATAGAACGGGGGTGGGGGGCAGTGATACTAGGAGTGTTCCTATTTCGGAGCACGGGAGAGGCTGTGTGAGAAGGTGGCATTTGCACAGGGATTAAAATGGAGCAGGGGAGGGTGTTCTGACAATATCTGGAGAGAAAACATGCACAAGGAACAGCAGGTGAAAAGGTCCTCGTGTAGAACATGACATTGATTGGGCTGGCGCAGTCAGATGACAAAGGCTTAAATACAATTTTAGACAGAAGTTGTGATCTTTCCTACACCAAAAGGTCATTACTCAGATAATGGGAGTCCAGCAATCAGTACCACAAAGGATGAGTAATATCGGGTTCTTTAAGTATTGCAGATCATTAATCATCCCAGCATAGCACATATTTCTCCCATTCTCAAAATAATACACATTAGTACAAGATTCACTTGGTTACATCAAAGAGAGAACAATAATTATCATTAGCCAGATACAGAGCAACTTATTCACCCAGAACATTAACTTAGTAACTTCAATTGTTGAATCTTTCCAAAATATCTTTTTGGATTTTAAGACAGAATCATGTAGCCCAGGCTGGCCTTGGGTTCACTCTATAGCCAAGGCTGGCCCTGCAAATCCTTTTACCTCTACCTCTAGTGTTAACGTTAGATGTATAACACCATGCTTTGTCTTTTCAAAACTATCTCAACATGGAACTCTTAAGCTACTGAGAAAACATGAACACCAAAGCACTGTTGAGCCTGTGATCACATTGTAAATCAACTTCATGATTGTTCCAGACTTAAACACATGTCATATTACACTTGTAGTCACATTACAGATCATACCGGCACAAGCATCCAAGGTATTCTGACATCATGTAAGTATTAAGAAAGACGCTTTACTATGGAGTACTTCTTAATTAGATTGATAATTTGACTTTGATTAGGTAGCAAAGTATTGTACTTATCAGTAACATAAATATAAGTTCAAAAAATCAATTGCTAATACTGAGCAAATTTGGTAAATATACAATTCTGCTGATGATAAGGTTTGTATGGCACTTCACACATTCAATGCTTTTCAACACTTAATATATGAGAATTGTGACTCACTGTCAAAGTTTTAAGATGGTGGTCAGATAATTATTACTCTCATTTATCAAAATGAACTCAAGCTGAATCATTTCAACATAAACATTTCAACATTTCTCCCTTACTATTGGAACTTGTAACTCATTATTTTACATACATGGTTTTCATACAAACAGAAATATTTTGTTAGCATGTTCTGCAGCCATAGAAACAGTTGGGATAATACAAGCAGCCCTTCAGTATTTAAATTTATTTTGTAGGGCCTAAGGCTTGTTGCATGTGAAAAATATTTACTATTTCAGTCCATAAAGATTAACACAAAGATAATAAAAATGTAATATTGGGTTCCCTATGTAGTTATATAACTTGCCTAGATATTAATGAAATACAGTTCATCAAAAAGGAAATTTTTCTTCTAGAAAATATGCTAGAAGGGATTATCAATAGAAAAATATGTACTTTTTAAATTAACTAAAAATTTAACAATAGAAATTTTAAGAGGTAAATTACATCACCATGGTAAGATTTTTACTACTAGGAACTAGATGTTTCATGTCATTCTCCTGAGAATATGCTATTCCCAGAAATACGAAATTACCTGTTGCTGTTCCTTCAGGTTAATGCCTCATCTACCCTCTCTTACATAAATATAATCCAAGGTAATTAATACTGCTTTTCAAAAGTGAATGTGGAAAGGCAGTAACTAGTCAAACATTTTGACTTGGATGGAGTTCCTACCACCACAAGTAAACAGCCAAAGATGTCAATAACAATTATTCCTTCACTTTACTCCCACCCAGTTCAATGGAAGCTTCTATACCTCCTGCATCCTTTAAGAGTGATTTATGATACTGTAAGACAGCAGACCTTAATTCACATTCAATCAAAAACACAAGAAATAATTTTATGGGGCATCTGAGAACTGAATAAAAATGTTTCAAATAGCTGATATTTTCTAGTTAATCTTTTCTTTAACTAACTGGAAAATACTTCCATATCATTTGGGTTGTTTGTTTGTTTGTTTTCTGTAAGGCAACTGGTGGCGACTGCTACTTTCTTGCAGGCAACTCTCTTCACCAGTTGTGACTGCCCTTTCCTTTCAAATAAACAGGTTATATTAGAGGTCTAGTTAGGCTCTAGTTAATCTAAGCATACATGCAGTATGAAGGAACCTAGAATGGGTTAAAAGGACAAAGCTGCTCAGTAAAGATCTTTGACCTTGCTACTTTTTTTGGTGTTTTGAGACAGGGTTCCTCTGTGTAGTCCTGGCTGTCCTTGGAATTTGCTTTGTAGACCAGGCTGGGCTTCAACTCAGAGATACATCTACCTCTGCCTCCCAAGTACTGGGATTAAAGGTATGTACCATCACTGCCAGGCTGACCTTGCTACTTCTAACACAGAAAACTTCAGCACTTAAGTACTGCTATAAAAAATCATCCTGAAACTTCTCTCTGGCACCTGTTTTCACAAGGTCATCAAGCAACTGACTTTTATGGTATGTATAGAACTATTGTAAGCACTAAGAAAATAAAAAGAATTAAAAATGCCAAGCTTGATGTTAACAACAGCATGAAATGGATTGAATTAACATATAAATAAAATCCACAATATACAATACTTAAAGGGATAAATTGCAGGCATGAACAAACCTATGGTTGTATCGTTCATTGTATCAAGGCAAAGATGAAACTCACAGTGTAACTAAATTAATAAAAAACAAAGACAAATCTGTGGTGACAAACAGCGACCTTTCTGGTAGAGGGAGGAATAAAGGACAGATGATAGACAAAGGGATACAAAAATCTATTGGTAGGAAAATTCCTTACCTTCACTACACTACATGGTTAATTTAAAAGCATATACAACAGTCAAAATGTTCAAACTGAACAATTTATACTGTGCTATTCACTGTAGGAAATTTTCTCCCAGGAATTTGATGATAATATGAAAATAATTATCACAATGATTGAAAACCATGAAGAAGACAACCAATTGACAGGACATCTTTGCTGTAGTTTTAACTGGAAAACTACAGATTTAAATGTGGGCTTGACAAGTCATACAGTAACGTCCAGCAGTTGCTTGATTTGCATTAGGCCTAAAATTTTTGCTGAGTTGAAAATAAAATCCTCCTATTAAGTTGCAATTATTTTTGGTCAGATTCATGAAAAGTCTTAGCAACTTTATGTTACAATTCTTCTATTCTCTCTGAGTATTTTTTCTTTACCCTTGCTTTCTTTTGTTTCCCTACTGCAGTTTGTTTCCTCTGAGAACTCACCATTTCAGAGAGAATTTCTAACAGCCTTCAGTGTAATTCAGAGATTTTAACTCGTTTCATTGTTTTAAATGCAGTCAACTGCCCCTCCTATCTGGAACTCTAATACTAACGCATGAGAAAGACCAAGTGCCTTACTTCACAACCCTAAGAAGGATAGATGTTTCAAACTTCTTGTTTTATAAACTATCTGCATGCCAGGCGGTGGTGGCTCACACCTTTAATCCAAGCACTCGGGAGTCAGAGCCAAGCAGATCTCTATGAGTTTGAGGCCAGGCTGGTCTACAGAGAGAGATCCAGGACAGGCAACAAAACTACACAGAGTAACCCAGTCTCAAAAAAAAAACAAACAAACAAAAAATAATAATAAACTATCTGCATTGTGTTTCCAAATATCACACATTTCTTATGATGTATAGCCATTTAAAGTAAAATAGCTGCATATGGAGTAGGAAAATAAAGACAGGGTATAGTTTACTTTATTAAATTCTGGTATAATCTTCTGTAAGAAAAGTATTGAATTATTATAATACTCAAATTACCATATCTAAAAATCTGAACTTGTCAATGGAACATATTGCTTAATGTAAAACATTCTTATGTTATTCCCCATAAACTACTATTTTTGAAGTATATTTAAGTGTATACAATAAGCCAACAGCTAATATATTGTACAGTTTAGTCTATTTTTTAAACAGAAAAAACAATTTCCATAAAAGCTTTTTCTTCTGCATATCACATGAAAGGAAGCATCCTGGATTGTGAATATAGCACCATGTTTGAGAAAAAAAAATCTAGATTCCTGAAGACAGACTAAAAATTATTTCTTAATATAGATGATACAAAGAAAACATCTGTCAAACTGTGAGTTAAGACTTCTGAAGTCAGACACGATTTCAGAAGAAGAGGGTGCATTTTCTCTGTTGTATTTGCCAAAGCACTGCTAAGCAGATACACAAGTAATGAAGATTAAGCTGCAGACTCCAACATAAATGAAGCACACTCTGATGCAATGTGCTAATGTTAATACCACTTTTCTACATGCTTCTAAGCCAACAGAACACAGGCAGGGAGGCCAATTTCCACATCAATAATCTGAAAGAGCAAGATTCCACTATAATTTCTGAAGTGTTCATGGTTAGACTATTCAACAGAGTACTACCAAAATACACACACACACACACACACACACATAGAATCAGAGAATTCAGCAGAGTGACGGTGTCAAATAAATACTTAAGGAGATAAAACAAAGGGGTGTACATCTTAAAAGATGGGTCTTCCACTGCATGGTATTGATTAAACTCCCAGACTCCTGTAGAGTGAATTCTAGTGAATTGGTCTTAATAATAAAAACATGGAGCAGAGGAACTTTGGGTGACTGTCCAGGCAGTCTGATGACCCTGTCACTAGGTAACATATCATCCTTCTGGAGTCTTTGATGGATTTGAAGATAGATAGGTATAGTTTTCTTTAGTTACAGTAAAAGATAAATTAGATACAAAACTTTAGACTCACCAAGATAATTATTTTTTTCTAATTTTATCAAATGAAAATGGATTTGATATTGTTACTGTAATTCTTACTTAATAACTGTTTTTGTTTTACAATATTAAAGTTAAAACTTTCCTTTTTAATTAGACAAAAAGGGGAAATGCTATGGGATAATGCTTATCCAATGCTTACACAATGTAAAGATTTGTCACTCAAATTGGTTTAATAAAACACTTATTAGCCAGTTGCCAGGCAGGAAGTATAGGCGGGGTGACCAGACTAGGAGAATTCTGGGAAGGAGGGCAGAGTCAAGGAGTCAGTCACCAGCCAGATGTGGAGGAAACAAGATGAGAATGTCACACTGAGCAAAGGTACCAAGCCATGTAGCTAAACATAGATAAAAATAATGGGTTAATTTAGATGTAAAAGCTAGTTAGTAATAAGCCTGATCTACCAGCCAATCATTTATAAGTAATATTAAGGCTTGGAGTCAATTTTTTGAAAGCAGCTGCTGGGTATTTGGAAACAGGCAGGTAAAGGAGAAACTTCTGCCTACAGACTCATATTCCATATTTTAAGGCCATGAGGCCTACCTCTTTCCCAGCCTAGAATTATTACAACAAAATCTCCTTCCCACCAGTTGACAGTGTTGTATAAAAACAAGAGACTCCTGAGGCAGAACTGACCTGAAAGCCTCTTCCCTGAGGACTTTCATGGCACCTGAAGGCTTCATGCAAATTTCCAAAGGATGGATACAATCTATCCTACCAGTTATTATGAGTATGAACCATAAAAATAACTAGCACAGCATGATTAACTATAAAGGTACAGTAGTAGCAATATATACCCTGGCCATAATGAGCAGCTTTCTAATCGGACTTAAGACCCACTCAACAGGAAGGAAATTATGCTTGGTACTGGAAATCTAGCCAACTACCCAGGGCTATTAAGTAAACAATTTGATTAAAACATTTTTAATTAATTTTTTTGACATTTCATACATGAATACTGTATTTTCATCATTCCTGCCCCTTCAAATTCCTCCCATGACCCCCAACTTCCTCTCAAATTTGTAACCTTTTGTTTAATTATTATTGAGGGCCCTTGTGAGATTATCCCATCTACTTTAGTTTGTTGACTGGTATCTGTGCAGATCTCTCATTCACTGTTGGTGAGATTGCAATCTATTGCCAGCACTATGAAAACAGTGTAGAGATTTCTAAAAAAAAAGTCTAAAATATTCACCATGTAACCCAGATATACCACTCCTTATCAAATGCTAAATAACTATGACACCCATCCTACTCCACAGATTCATTGTCACTTTATTCACAATCACTAGGAAAGGAAACAAACTAAATATTTTTCAACTGATGAAGGACTAATGAAAGGTGGAGCATATGCACAATAGAATTCTATTCAGCTGTGGGAAAAAGTGAAATCATTAAAACTGGAAGTTAAATGAATGGGATGAAAACATATTATACTGAGTAAGGTAACCCACATCCAGAAATACAAACTCATGTATATTCTCTTATGTGGCTAACCTAGCTCCAAATCTTTAGGGGTAATAACCCTGGAGTAACTTCAGAAACCAAAAAAGAGGGGCAATGGTGGAGGGAGGGCCTCTAGAAAGAGGGATAGTAGAACGTTGGTTCTAAGAATGGGGTAATAAGGAAATGGGGGAATAGAGAGGGGGACAGAAGGAGGACAAATAACACCAAATATTATATATATGCTTTTTGTTTACTTAAAAGCATATACATAATAAGTATATATATAAACACACACACACACACACACACACACACACACACACACACACACACACACACACACGAGTTTGGAGTGACAATAATGTTTCTCCTAGAGCCATAAACTATCTGCAAAAGTGCTTTTGTCTAGCCTGGGAAACCACCCTTTGAGTTGTTAACAGGTCAGGACAGTTGAAGGGTATCCCAAAATAAAATAGGTTATCAATGTTGACTTTGGTTCCCTCCAAGAACTTGAAGGTAAGGTCATATTGCAGAAGATATCACATATTTCAGACAAAGGACTTGAGGAATCCAGCTGGAAGTAATCCAAAATTCTCCTCCCTGAGGACAGATCTCATAATATCTGGAGGTGCTATGCATGCTGCCAAGAGACAAAAGTCAACCAACAATTCTACCCACGTGTGAAACCTACTAGCCACAAAAATTAGGAGCATGGCAAGATATTCCCAAGGGAACAACAGTGGCTCTTGTGTTTTGGCGGCAATTAGCTGTTATAATTGGACGTAAGGCCTGTTCAAAAGTGTGGTTCGTGTTTGTTTATTATAAATGCAGCCAATCACCTGTGGATCATGGACATAGAGGCGAATCTACTCCTGCCATGTTCCTAAACAGTTTAATTTCTAACTGCATTCTAAATACGTATCTTTACACTCACAGATGAATCTCACTCCTTATCAAAAAAATATTCTTTTCAGAAGACAGTAGCATTGACGAGTTAAAATGCAGAAAATAATCAACCGTGGTGTCCAACCCAACAGATACATCTACAGGACAATGCCTATATCTAAGGCTCAGGGAACACAGTGGAAAAAGGTATCAGAGATGCTGTGAGAGCCAGAGGGCCATCACACCTTCTGTGAGACTGTGTCTTCTCTATTTGACAGGGAAGCTGCACCCAGGAAATCTCAAAAACAGAAAACAGTTTTCAAAACTCAAAAAAAGTTAAAATATGATAATAAACTGTCTGTTTCAAGAGATGCTGACATTTCCTCTTAATATTTTGCCAGATGCAGGAGAGGAAATACGTACAAGGCAGGGGGACAGTGGCATAAACACTGCAAGCCACTCTGTATGCTACAGTGTTCTCAATGATATTACTTCATGTAAACGATATTATAGAACCTTTGATATCTGACAGAATTAAGTGAAACACACTAACTCTACAGTTTAGGAAACATAAATGTCAGCTTTCTAAAGCCTTCCACATCAAAGCAATCAGCAGGAGACTCTGAACGCTGGTGGAGCAGTGTGCCAAGGGTTCTGAGAGACACAGAGCAAGAACTATGATTTTATGTACAAGGGAATTTTAAAAGCCATGTGCTGACTAGAGGAGCAAAAGACAATAAAAGAGGTATCTTTGCACATATTAAAAACCTAATTATAAGGCAGGAGTATGGCACACAACTTTAATGCCAGCACTTGGGAAGCAGACATAGGCAGATCCTTGTGCATTCAAGGCCAGCCTGGTCTACCCTGCAATTTCAAAAACAGCCAGAGCTGCATGGAGAGACCCTATTGCAAAAAAAGAAAGAAAGACCCTAACCAGAAAAAAGAAAATGAATGAATCTACAATAGCATTCATGTAATAAAGTGAAAGTGGGCAATGCAAATATAAGACACAGCATATTTCCACAGCCATGAACAAGAAATTAAAACTTTGTGAACCTCAGTTCACTCTTAGCTGACCGGAAGCAGTGTAACTGGTGAACAGCGATGGATTTGGAAACACACAGCTGATCCCAATCATTTTATTGAAGTCTTTCCTGTTATCCCACACTGAATTACATTCCTGTTCTCCAAAGTATTGTCTACACTCACCTCTAAAGGACATTCATCCCAAAATTCTAACTTTCTACTTAGACTTAGTCTCCAGTTAATGTCATCAGGTCTAAGTTAGTTTTATGTGCATTAAAATAAAATGTATTTGTTACTATCAATCCAATTCTTAGACTTGGATACAAAACGTTTGGAAAATGGTGGCACCTCAGGTGAGAAGGAGGTACCACAAACACAGAACTGGATACAAGCCTGGCTTGTTCAGGGCAGCAGAAGCAGATCGCTTCTCTGAAGTAAAGATTAAAGGTGAAATTGAATTTCTGTGATATGTAATAGGGGGCCATGGAACATTTCTGAGCAAGGGCATCCTGTGCAAGCCAGAAAATCTGAGCACTGGAGTAATGAATCAGTTAAGGTAGTTGAGAGCGGTGACATAAGCTAAGAAGGAGATGATAAAGGTCACGCGGGAAGACCGAAATCTCCAGAGAAGAACAATGATTTCTAAGAAAGGCTGAACACAGACTCAACCACCTTGAGTCTCTTCTGCAGCATTCTGCCAGGGAAGACCTCACACCAGAAGTCTAAACCTTCATCTTCCCACTTATTCTCTCTACACCACTTGAGCCTTCTCCACGCTACCACCTTTTTTTTTTATATTAAGGAATTTTTTGTTCATTTCACATACCAACCAAAGATCCCCTTCTCTTCCCTCCCTCTGCCCCTCCAGCCTTCACCTCCCCCAACCCACACCCCATTCCCTCCTCCAACAAAGTATAGCCTCCCATGGGGAGTCAGCAGAGCCTCGTACCTTCAGTAGAAGCAGGCCATCTTACTCACTCTGTATTTGCTTTTTCCTTTCATGAATGCCTGGTTCACAGGTATGTACTATGATTCAGTCAGATGTTCCTTGAATCACAGGAAGAGGTTCAACAAATTTTGTATTAAGTTTTAATGTGTTATTATCAAAAAAGAAAAAAGAATGAAAATTGTAAATTCTATTTTCGTGTCAATTATTATTGGTCTGACACAAAATTAATATGTAAGAGAAATTTCATTAAGAGACATCAAATAGGCCCCCAGCTCCCAGCCTGCCCCCGACGACTTCCCTTCTGGACCAGAGGTGAGTGCCTGGGTCCAACCCGGACCGTATCCCTGGCCACCAACCACTCCTGAGAGGCCTGCCCAACTTGGCACCAGGTTCTGGCCACCGGGCAGCTCCCCTTCTAGCCCCACCGGGAGGGATCCCCATTTCCAAGCCCCCGGCAGC